ATGTTAAGTCCAACTCCCAGGCAAATCATTATTGCTGAAAGGGCTTATGTTTACCAGGTGAGAAAATTGAGGCTGAGAGAGGTTAAATATTATGCAAAGCTTCTCCCAGCTAGTGAAATAGCCGAACTAGGATTAAATCTATGGCTCTATCTTCTCACTTTTCTGTATTACCTGATTAAGGCCGCCTTCTACAGAAAACCGTCTACTTTGTGCTTGAAATTAGCCTCCAGCTCCCCTCCCCTCTCTCCTCCAACACTCCACTCCACATTCTATCTGGAGCTCTGCAGGGCTCACTACAGCCCTCCCCTCTTCTCCATCCATCCTGGCCCTTAAGCTGTCACTCAGCCTGTTCTAAAGGCTGGTGCCCTGGTCCAAAGTCTCCAACCCGTTTTTACTTCTCTAGCACTAGATGGGGCTTGAGAGACCATGACTGCCCCTCACCCAGTGCTGCTCTGATATCTTCACTTGCTCTTGCCCGTTACCTCCCTTCCATCTCCTGGGAAAGCCTGAGGCTCAGGTTTGCTGGTCTTTCCCTTGGAGGCCATCTGATAGCTGGAGGAAGGCCAAAGCAGAGAGAAGGCACTGGCTTCCAGAAGTATAGGACCCTTACTACTGGTAGTTTGGGAAACAATTTTTAGTGGTATGTGGGCAAATATTTTATCTTAATAGTTGAGTATTTTTATGGATACCTTCTATCTTTGGTAAGGCATGCTGATTTTCCATTTATGGTTATCATGTAATGTTTTATTTTAAAAATAAAATAACTGAAGAAACAAGTAAGTTGATTTAAAAACATGTATTACTGAAACGAAATACAAGTAGATCACAGCAATGGCGAAAGGTGGCCTGAGGTTTAAGAAACATCACCTTAAGCTAAGTCTTAAATCTCCTCTGTCCCAGATCAATACTTCTTGAAAAGCGGTCCCTATTTTTTCACGTGTCAGTTCTGAATGCCTGGGGTGAGCACACCTCTCATGTGGGATTCGTAGAAGAGCTTGGCTTTCAGGGCACCCTGACATAGCAGAGGGGGACTGCCCAATTGGATTACAAAAGCAGGGCCTACAGAAACACTATTTTTTTCCAATGACTTGCTGCCCCAAATGTCTGCATCCTTACTGTTACAATGTTCTTTAATCCACTGCCTTCTCCAGTTCTTGGTCAAGAAGTAGGTTGGTATAGCAGTTTTCAAGAATCTGGGAAGTTAGATAAGGTGCTCTGCCTCTCGATGGCCACGCTTTCTGGCCCTGATCAGAAGGCTCCAGGCACTTGCGCTGTGGCTTCAGGCATATGAGCACATTCATACAGGAAGTAGTACAGGAAAGGGGTTGTAAGCTGCGTAACTCCTTTTTCCATCTGAGCTGTGACTTCAAGAGAGCAAACTGCTCTGTGAAGCCACCTCATTTGGGAAGAGCAATGCAAAAGTAATAACTGGCATTTACTGAATGGAGTAGGTGCTATATGCATAAATCACGCCTTTAAGCCCATAGGAAATACATTCTCAGGGAGATGAAACAGTCTGTGATCAGGTTCACAGTAATTTGTCTAATTCAAAGCTTTCTCTCCTCTCTCTTCCCTTTCCCAAAAAACAAAACCCGTTTCTCAGAAACAAAACTCAATTTTTTTGTCACTTGGATGATGTTGATATCTGACGCCCTCTAGTGATAGAAATTCTTTGGAGAAGGAATGTCCCTGGTTCTTCAGCTCTCCCTACAGGCTTGATTAGGTGACAATCCTTACCAGAAGCTGACTGGAAAAATTAATTCGTAAAAATGAATTTTGGTAACAGAGGACTTATGTCCATCATAAGCTCTAATGTTATATCAGTTATGATTCCTTTAGTTGTAAGAATTTGGCTTAAGCAGACATTGGGAATGTTGGAAGTCCAGGGTTGGAGTTCAGGTTTAAATCAATTCAGGACTAAGGTGACACCACCAGGCTTCGCCTCTTTCAGTGTGGACTGACTTTGCCTTAAAGCAGAGCCCAGAAGCTCTCTTCATTGACGACATCAGTTCCACACCTCACCTATTCTCCCTTCAAATCCAGTGAAAAATAAAAAGAGTTTGTGCCTACTGTTTCCAGCAAAAGTCTCAGGCTTACTCCAACAGAATGTGACATGCTGGCTGCCTTAACCAGTCCTCCCATCCTCCCACCTACATATATATACAGGCCCTGACACTGGTATCAGTGTCTCTGCAATGTTGAATTTTTGTGTCAAACTTTGACTAGGCCACAGTACCCAAATACCTGATACCATTTTGGATGTTTCTATGAAGGTATGGGATTAGCATTGGAAGCAGTAGACTTTGAGTAGAACAGTTGTCCTCCATAATGTGGGTGGGTATCATCCAATCAGTGGAAGGTCTTAAAGAAGCCCTCCCCTGACAGAGTGGGAATTCTGCCAGCAGACTGCCTTGGACTCAAACTGCATTTCTTCCCTGGGTCACCAGCCTTGCAGCCTACCTCGCAGGTTTTGGACCTGCCAGGCTCCACAATCACATAAACCAATTCCTAAAAATGCATCTCTCTCCCTCCCCCTCAACTCTCTCTCTGCTTTTCTCTCTTCTCAGATAAATAGATAGGTAGCAATATCTGTATCTCTATCTCTATATATATCCTATTGTTTCTTTTTTTCTCATAATCCTGACTAATATAGTAATCCACATGAAATAGTTCAAAAAGACAGAAAGGGCCAATTTTTTGCAGTCAACCTGGAAGTGTTGTCACCAGAAAGAAGGGGAAGATGCATAGAAGAGTCATGGAATGCCCACTACAGTTGGGAATTATTAACGTCAACTTACTGTTCTTTAGTAAGAGCAATTTGGTTGATGATAATTTTTAAAATATTAAGTCCATGGGGAAAAAAATAAAAGTAGTCTTAGTGGTGAGAAGATGTTGAAGGTTTTCTTCCCTGCAGCTTTCTGTAGTCAGATAGTGTTTAATTGTTATTCAGAATGAGATGTTCCGTGGCAAGGGTATCTTTAGAGAAGAAACAAGCTTTAACTTATTTGGTATGGTTTAAGTAAAATCAGGATGGTTGTCCAAAATATCTCCCACATCTGGTAGAGTGCCTGAAATTCTATTATTAAAATTGTATTTATTTGCCCTTGAAGGGTTGGAGGCCCTTATGAATGTTCTTAGAATAAAAATAACCTTTAGAGATGTCCTAACTCCTTTCCCTAGAACACCAGCCTTCGTGAGGTGTTCATTCCGTAGGCATTCTTCAAAGGACTCCATAAAGAAGACAAACAAGTTTGAGGGATTGTATACATTATAGCCCCCTTATAGGTAGTCACAATACATGTTAGCATATTAAAGGCTCTAAGAAGTCTTGAATTAAAAGATCTGTTTAAATTAAATAATCCAGAATATTCTAAAATCATATGACCATGAAACAAGTTTCTTCCCATAAAGCAACTATGACTATCTCATTGAACTTGAGGATAACCAGGTGTGTGTGTTGGTGGGGGGGTGGGGGGAGTGCGGTGAGGGATGGGGGGTTAGAAGGAGCAGTTCCCTGGAGCAATAATACATAAATGTAATTCCTAGCTCTGCTATTTATTAACTAACCAACTTTGCCAATATTGCCTAAAATTTTTTGGCTACAATCCTTTATTTGTAAATTTAATAATCGCCAACCTCACTGCACTAAAATGACAAATATTAAGTAAGGAAGAACCACTCAGGAAAGTTGCTGGCTCAGAATTCACACTCAAGAGATGTTGATTTTGTCAGTTGTCCTCTCTCTTTCCCCATGACCCTCCCTCCCTCTCTTCCTCCTTTCTTCCTTTTTTTTATGGTATTATTTTATATCCATGAACCTTTTAGATAGTTTTAGATTCACAGAGAAGTTGGAAAGATAAAGCACAGAATCCCCATATCATCCCCCTCCTCCCATTCACTTCTTTTTGTGTCTATTATGCGCCAGAAACTGTAGGAAGAAGACTGGCGCCGGCAGCGTCTTACCCGGAGCCTCGCAAAAACCGCCTGGCAGGTGAGGCAGAGCCCAGCAAGGGAGCACCCGCAAGTCTGGGCGTTTAGCGAGGGGCAAACACCAGGTGACCGGTTGGGATACACACTGGGTTACAGACCTGGGGGCCTGAATGGTTTTTCAGAAGAAAATGTCAACAGAGAGGAAGCCCGATTCGAAGAGGAGTGAGCCAGGCAAAGGGCAGGGGCGAAGAGTGTCCGTAACGGGATAAAACCACCTGGAAAAGGAGAGCAGAGGCAGAGTGGGGTGCAGAGTATAGAGGAGGATGCCAAAGAAAGGTTGACTACTTCACGTGCTCAGCCTAGGAACTTTCAGAAGCGAACTCAGTAACGATGTCATCACACAAACTTCCCTTCTGTAAAATTCTTGCAAAACTATCTAAACAGGTCTGTTTTTCCAAAACAATAGTGACTTCAAGAAGTGTTAACCAGGGAGCACTACAGAATTACAATAATATTTTTTGAAGAAAATTGGCCAGGAAACGATGAGTAACAAAGTGGGGGAAGTAATTGTGAATCGTTCATACAGCTGGAGTTGTGTGATTTGTCATAATTGGGTAGCTTTGTTCTCCTTTTGGGGAATAGGAGCTAAGGGTCCTCGCCCTTCTGACTCCCTATAGACTCTCCACAGCACAATTTCTGAACTTCTTCCTTCGGTAATTGTTGCTTATACACTAGTCAGGGGCTTCTGAGAGCCTCGCAGGTCGCAGCCACAACGCGAGGCGCTGAGTGCAGGCCCGGGTCTTCTCTGATTGCTCCCAACAGGTAGCCAAGGCTCCTGCACCCAGGCAGGCAGGCCACTGTGCGCTCAGGGCTCCAGTGTGCGCAAGCCTTCCGCTATCTTCCCAGTCTGAACTGCAGACGACTGTAGGAAAGGCAGCAGGCGCGCTTAAGAGCCTCACCTGAACTGTGCTTGCCAGCCGACTGTGGCAACGCCCCCATGGGGAATGCCCAATTGTGCAACGAACCCTGACTCCTTCCCCGCTCGCCACCCTCCCCCTCCCGCCCCTCCCCCGGGCCAAGTCGCTGAATCAAAGGCGCCCTCCCCAGCCCGGGCATTCTCCGGCAAAGCTTCTTTCTCCCCCATCCCGGTCCCGTGGGCCCAGCCTTCGGACGCCTCCGGGCTCTCCGAGGAGCCACACAGAGGTGCTGCGAGGCGCTTCGGGGAGAGAGGAAAGCGGCCTGAGAGGGGCTGTGCTTGCCCCGGCGGAGCAGCCCACAGGCTCGGGGAGGAGCCGGGGGCAGCTGTCTCTGCTCCCGCGGTAGGCGCCCGGCTGCTCGGGCTGCGGAGGCGCTTTCGCTTCGGCGGACTGCTCCGCAGCCATGGCCAGATTCTGGGTTCTCCTGTCTCTGGTGAGTCTCTCCCGCCCCGGCGGCGGGGAACCCCGCGCGTGGGCCGGGCGCGCGGGGGGTGCAGCGACCCTGGCCGGCGGGCTCCCCGGGGCTGCCAGGACCTCCCCTCCGACAGGTCCCAGGAAGCCGGGAGCTCCTGTTTCTGGGGACGGGACGCCGAGTACCGGCCGGGGGCAGACGGAGCGGGCACGGCCTGCGGGCTGCGGTGGCTGGAGGCAGAGCCCGGCCGGAGAGGGCAGGGCATCTTCAGGACAAGTCCTTACACGTCAGGCCGAGAAAGGTCGGCTTCTTTGAGGGCGGGGGTGTGCGCGCCCCGGCGGTGAGAACCGGCGCTCTCGGAAACTGACACACACGTTGCACAACAGTTTTCAAGTTGAGAGAATTAAACAGCCCCGAGGCTGTGGCTAAACCTGAGGCTTCAGATCGCACCGTTTCTTTCTTGAAAAAGTTATCTTGGGGCTGAATGCGACTCTAGAGGCTTATTTATCTCATCGCCACACTGAAAAAGAAACTGTTTCCCTTCCGGGAATCCCTCTCCTTAAGACTGTAAAAGTCACTGTCTCAAGTATGGCGTTTGGTTTTGTTTTTCGTCGTTTCCTTACTTTTCTGTAGTCTTTCTTAGCTTGCACGCCTACCGTAGTTTTTGAACTACGGAGTGGGAGGGAAGCGCGGCCTCCCGGCTCAGGCGGTGGTACCTGCTCCCGCTGCGCGCACCGGCGCCTGTACTTGGCGAAGAAGTCACCCCTTTTGGAGAGTCCCTACTCAGAAATGCCAGTTTGATAATGACTAATCGAAAAGACGTGGCCTCTTGAGGTTCATTTGAGTTCCGAAGCCTCTAAAAGTCAATGGATGCTCTTTTTATTGGGCCCCACCGAAGCTGTAGGCACTGTGAAAGGTGTGTTTATGGGATAGCAGTCAGTTCTCACAGCAGCTGTGCAGAGGACGATGTCCTCATCTCCCTTCCACAGATGGCGAAATGGGGTTCAGAAAGCTTAAGTAATTCACCAGCTGGGGTTTATTTAGATGTATTTCCAAAGCCCAGGCGGTTTGTTGATTCCTGATTTTCAGATCATGCCAAGAATTAAATGGAAAAAGGCAGTGACATCTAGAATCATCTTATGACTAGGAAAAATTTCTCCCTGGTCCTTTCAGAAATAGCGAGCAATATCTGGGCTCCTTTAGAAACTTCCTTAGAAAAAAAATAAGTTTCAAATTTAAGAAACTTCTTATACAACCTCAGACCACACTCTTCCTTATCGTTAGCCTCTGCAGGGCAGTGTTGATTGCTTTAAAAATCTCTTAGTTCTTGGAACAGCCATACTAGTAAGGGAAGCAAAATTACCAAGGCCCAGAACTACTCTTATCTGACCTTTAGACTATAGCATTTTTACCAGAGGTGCATGTTCAAAGCACCAAATTTAGCTTCTCTGAAAGAATGCACATACATGTATGTGTACACATTTATATATACTTATTATAATATCTATAATATTATAATGAACATAATTTATTACATTTGTATATAACATATGGCCTAGGAAATGAAGGTTTATTAAATACAATTTATAAATTCAGATGAGTAAAAATCTGATATAACCTCCTCACTGAGATACATTTTGTAGTATATGCTCCATGTCTCCCTCTAATATGACTCTTGTAAATTTAGTTACCAGAATCCTGCCTTGCATTCACTGCATACCCAACATCATGCCTTGATTATTCAAGAAGTTTCCACACTGTCAGGTCACCTTGTGCGTCTCCAGAAAATGCTTGGTTTTATGCGTTTGCACTTGGTAGGGCTTACTTAGTAGCAGTGATAATAAATGAAATGGAGGTGGGAGTGCTAATTTCAGGGAACAGAAGCAAATTTTGTTCAATTATGTCAATGGGCTGGAAGTAGGTGGGAGGGAACTGCCTTAAATTCTCTTTTCTGCTTTGTTCCTCTAGTCCTCTTAACTCCATTGCTGACTAGAGTCAGCAAATATCCCCATACCTTTATCTCTTTGTTTCACTTCTCTTCTTTCTATCCTCTTGGAGTTACTTTTCTCTCCCCTAGTTTCTAGGTGTTGTGTGTGCAGCACCTACAACAAAAAAGTTTGAAATCCTATGTCAATTCACAGATGTCTAAATGGAGACAGAAAAATGACTTAATTTAGAAATTTGAGAAATAGTTGTGGACTTTGCTTGTGTACTTTCTTTTTCTTTTAAATACTGGCTCTGGTAGGTTTGGTTTTGTCTTGTACTTTGTAAGTCTATGGTCAGGCAATTACTAGATAGCCAGTTTCTTCTCCTATATTTCTTAGAGCAATTTTCTTAACATTATGGTTTATGGAAAGGGGAGGGCATTTGAAAAAGAAGCCAGCGTATTTATAAGTAATCATACAGAAGAGTTTCAGCGAGAAAATAAGGAACAGTTGTTTTAATTTATAATTTAATCATTTTCTTAAACCAACCTAAGAAACATGAAATGGGTTGTGCTGTGTTTCTATTTTTTTTTTTAATGGGTTTTAATTATATCACAAAGGACTTGAAAACTTTTATGAGTAAAATAAAATTATGAAACAATTTAAAACATTAACAGCTAGGATGAAAAGATAAAAAATTTACAAATGGTGGCAAGATTGGGAGGCAAAAATTGAATCGATATGTGGAGACCACCAAGGCCCCCACTACTAGCTACAATTAGATGAAGGAAGTGTTCTATTCTCCATCCCTGAAAAAAAATTACTGCCCTTCATGGCAAATTAATGTTTAACTTAGAAAAAGCATTTTTATTTCTTGCACTGACTTTAGAGGGAGGGCAAGGTGAAATAGAGGCAAAGAGGACCCAGGATTTGGATGTTGTCTCTGAGTAAGCCTTTTTGGGGCAGAGACAATTAATTTACTTCTAAATAGTTCTTATAGGGGAAATGTCAGTATTTCAGAGGAATCTCTCTGAAGGCTGCTGGAATGCTTGAGGGAAGGCAGATCACTACAGCATACTGCCAATTGGAGAGAATAACCATGAGATGTTCAAACCCTGAATAAGGAAATCCCCCACCTAAAAACCCCCAGTTAGTTAAGGGCCTGTTCATAAATTATCTTGGGTCCCAAAAGTCCCTTAATAAGCACATGTTTTGTAATCAACACTAAGGACTATTTACTTATGCTGAAAATAATAAAAAATAAATAAAAATAATTTAAAACTTGATCCATAAGATAAAAACAAGTTGAAACCAAAATGAGAACACTGAATCCATCTCATCTTTTAAAATAGGTAAATATAGAGAAATTGGGCATACAATATGAAACAAAAAGTACTTCTTGAAAAGATAAAGTCATTTTCTCACCACCAGTAAGAAACATATATCTTACTACCAGAAAATTACTTGCAGAACCGCATAAGTTATATATTATTTTTGCTATGTGTGTGTATCTATTCACAAAAGGGGAAAAGCAGCATGTAACCACCTAGTAAGTCCTTTCATTTTCTGGAAGACCCTTACTTTAAAAAGAAAAAAAAAAAGGTCTTTAGCTTTTCATAGAGTTGAACTCCTAACACAAATTAAGTATCTATAAATAAGTTTAAACAGGAACAGATAATGCAATCTACTTGCCTACCCTTATTTTCTTTTAAGTGAGAGAATCAGTAATAAAGACCAAATTAGAAGAAAATGATCATTGTAACATTAGTAACTCCTCCTTCATTCGCCCCAAGGAAATTAACTTTTCTTCCTGTTTGATCACAGCTCCCCTTCCTGTTTTGGAGTGAACTTTGGTGCATCAAGCCACTCCCACCTGTGGACATTCAGGAACAGCAGTCATAGCTATATTGGACAACTGGCCCAAGTTCCACTAAGTGGGGAAGAGAGTGAATTTGGTATGGAATTATTTATATTGAGCAAGGCCAGATTTATAAATTAGCAAATTTGACTACAAACTCAAAAGGCAGATTTACCCAGCCCCACAAGACAAGGAAGCCTACTGTAGACTCTTTAAGCTGTGAAGTGGGATGAACTTGTAAAATTTGAGTGAACTTGGCATTGGAGTCATTCATGACAGGCCGCCCCTTGGTCCAGTCATATGGGATTCTAGATTTATTCATCTTGTGTTCTGGGAGGCCATCATAATGTAAAATGTGAGAAACACCAATACTTTTGATTTCTGAAGGCAGAATTCTTAGAAGAGAGAGAGAAAGACTGTGAGTTCAGAGCATATGGGTTAAGGCCCCGTCCCTTGCCGAGGATTGAGCTTTGATTCTCAGCCATCCTCACAAGAGGATCCTTGGTCTTAGACTTTTTCATATAAGGATCTGTATAAACTTAGGCCTGATTTTAAAAACTGGTCCCAGACTGTTTTTAGCCCACAAGGTGTTAAAATACATAGTATGTATTTATGTATGTATGTGTATTTGTATGTATGTATGCACATATTTGTAATATTTGTTGCACCATTTAAATGTCAGGGGATTTTGGTTTCTCTTGAGAAAATGGAAGATTTGGGCCCACATACCACATGGCTTCCAATCTCTGGATCCAATCAATGGCTGTGCTTTTGGTCCAAGCCAACTTCCCTCTTTTGACCAGCCCTTCCTACCCATTATTATCTCTTACACCTGGCTACCTTAACTCGTATTTTATCTCTGAGGGCCCTCTGGGCATTTAAGGATTCTAGGGCTCCAGTTTAGGATTTTGCAGCCCTCCCATCATCCATGTCCTCCACCGAAAATTACTTCTTTTCAGGCTTATTCTTGAAAGGGTCATTACTTCTCCACAAAAATCCAAATTCTGATTTGCAAGTGCAGACCACAGAGGCTGTTGTCTACAAAAATCTTATTTTCTCACACAAAAATGTAGTGGCCTAATACTGCTTCCTTTAGTCCAGTTCTCCAACTGTGGTGCTCATCAAAATTACTGAAGAACTGGTTAAAGATGATCATAAAGAGGATTATTCTTAGGGATCTTCGTTCTTTAGGTCTCTGGTGGTCTGGTGGGACCTGAGCATTTTTTTTTTTAATGCAT